AAAGGCAGATGATTAACCAACTGAGCCACCCAGGCGCCTGACCCATTGGTTATTTAGGAGTATGTTATTTGATTCCACATATTTGGGAATTTCCCACATCTCTTTCTGCTATTAACTCAAATCACTCCTTTGTGGCTGTAGAACATACTTGTTTAATTCATATCTTGTTAAATATATTGAGATTTGTTTTATGGCCTGAAATATGGTGTACACTGGAGAATATTCTGTGTGCACTGTAGAAACATAGTATTTTGCTGTCATTGAATGGAGTGTTCTGTATGTGTCTGTTAGGTCTAATAGGTGTATTGTGTTGCTTCAGTCTTTTGTTTCCTTACTGATCTTCTGGGTGTTCTATCCATCCTTGAAAATGGGGTACCAAAGTCTCCAACTATTATTGTTGAAGTGTTTATTTTCACTTTGCTTTTACTAGCTTTTACTTCGTATACTTTAGGGCTCTGCTTTGAGGTGTATATGTTTATAATTATTAGATTTTCTTGATGGGTCGATTCTTTTATCATTATAAATTGTACTTGTTTGTCTCTAATAACAATTTTTTTGTGTGTGTTAAATCTTTTTCCCCCCTGAATTTCCAGCTCTCCTTTTGTTTATTGTTTATATGTTATGGTGTTTATATCCATTTATATTCACCCTTTTGGGGTAGTTGTATTGTTGGATCATACTTTTATACAACATGTCAACCTCAGAGTTTTGACTGGAGACTTTAATCAATTTACATATAGCATAACTACTGCTAAGATAGGACTTACACCTGCCACCTGCTGTTTGTTTTCTGTGTGTCTCATGTCTTTCCTGTTACTTTTCCTCCATTACTGTTTTCTGTTACATAGATATTTTGTAGTGTATCCTGTTAATTTACTTTTTCACTATATATATTTTTTAAAGATTTTATTTTTTTTATATTTGTTTGAGAGAGAGAGAGCAAGAGAGAGCACAAGCAGGATGTAGGGCAGAGAGAGAAGCAGATTCCCTGCTAAGCAGGTAGTCTGATGTGGGGCTCGATCCCAGTACCCTGGGATCATGACCTGAGCTGAAGACAGACGCTTAACCGACTGAGCCACCTAGGCACCCCTTTCACTATGTATTTTTTGAATTACTTTATTAGTGGTTGCCTTAGAAATTATAATTTGGTTAGACTATTTGAGCTCCAACTGTTATATGCTACCTCAGGCAACTATAAAATTAAAATACTTACCTCACATTTCCTCCATTTCCCAAGTTGTAAGTGATTAATAATTAATAATTAATAGGAATGAATGTGAGCAGAAAGAACATAAATCCTATTGCATGTTACAGAGTAACCAGCTGGCTCAAATGTTTGCTGGGAAGGAGGCTTTTTGCACGGGGCAAAGTATTAATGTGGTGAATTTCCAGCCTTGTAAGTGGGATCTTTCAGGGAAATACCGAAAATGTCAAATAATGACAATTATTTGGTAGTGAGGCTTTGAAAGAGCTCTGTTTTCTGCTCATTGCTGTGGTTGCCACGCTGGCTTGCTACTTTTCAAAGTTGTATGGAGCTGGAAGTGGGCAGTGGGAATAAGGCAAATTAAAAAACCATAAAGGGTGCCTGGGGGGCTCAGTTGGTTGAGCATCTGACTCTTGATTTTGGCTCAGGTCTTGATCTCAGGGTCGAGAGTTCAAGCCCCCGGTTGGGCTCCATTTTGGGTGTGGAGCCTACTTAAAACAAAACAAAACAAAACAAAACAAAACAGTGAAAAACCATAAAATTCACTTGCCAGTTTTTTTTTTTTTCATTACCTATATGGAGGAGTATATTTTCAGAGGTCTTTACATTGGCATTTTTGTTAACATCACCCTCATGTTTATGGTCAAGTTTTATGATCCACTGAAGTGATCCCTCTAGCTCTTCATCACAAAAGCAGGCTTAAATTGATATGGCTGCATTCATTTGTAAGTTGCCAGCAATTTTAAGAGATTACTATTTGAGGGTGTCCTTTAAGAGATAGGGTTTTAGCAAATATTATGTGGTTGTGTTGAGCTTGTTAGTTTAATGAGAGGGTATGAGAAAAAACTTATGATTTAATGGAAACAGAATTTAATAAATAGAAATTACCAACTGGAAAAAGTTTATATTGAAGACTATTATTTCCTCTCTGTTATCTGAACTTAGCATATTTCCGTCATAGGTGAACACACTTTTGCCTTTCGAAAAGTTTTGACGCTTTAACCTTTGCTTCAGGTCTTGGACCTTGTCATGATGATCCATTCCTGCAGCCTGATTTTTGGAGAAGTGTTCTCAAGGACTGATATTATTTCATTCAAAATACTCAAATTTTTTAAGTTCCTTTGAGCCAGTTGGTTGTTCTGTAACATGCAATAGGATTTATGTTTCTTCTGCTCACAATCATTCCTATTAATCACTTAAAACTTGGGAATGGAGGAAATGCAAGGCTGCCTGTCAATAGTTGATGAAAGTGAGACTGAAAATTCTACCTTATCTTTCTTGAGGATCAAAGCTGGTGGAATTCACTGCCAAAGTTGTTGGATTTAGCCCTCCAGACTTGATTCATGGTTTTTTGTTGTTTTCATATTTTATATACTTCCTTTTTTTGGGTCATCAATCTTGGTTTATTTTGGGATTTTATTCCAATGCTTACCCAGCAACTGAGAAAAAACTATTCTTTGGAAGACCTTTAATATAAACATTAACATTATCAATAAAATCATACTGCTTGTTCTTATTTTGTCATTTTGATAGTTAACACTTTACCATGAGATTATTTGAAATATGTTTTAAAGATATGTTATGCTCTTGCTTTTATGGATGCAGTCATAAAATGGGAATTTATGAACCATATAAACAAACTGAGATGAATATGGTAGGGATTAATAGGAAACTTACAATGGTGACAGTGATGTTTGCATATATGTGCGTGATATGATTGTTCATAGGCTACTTCAGGGGTAAGAGGGGTGTGTGCAGAAAACACTGGGTCCATTTCTGGTTACCAGCTTCTTAAGTCTCTTCTCAGTGGTTAGAAGCAGCAGTAGGAGGGGGCATGGGATGAAGGAATGGACATGTGGGAAAAACTTATGCTGGCAAGGATATGCTTCTTTCTTTCTTTTATACTTATAGACATGATGACTAAAGTGCTTTTGAACACAAAGGAGAGTTTTCCATAAGACAGTATTTTTCTTTAAGGAACATCATCAGTGAGTTAAAGAAATTCTATACTCACACTATAGGGAGAAAGGTAAAATTGAATGTGCATTTAAAAAAATGCTTCTTATTGCCACTAAGGTGGAGTTAAAGGTAGAAATCAGATGTCGGTATTGGGTGCATTTTGAACACTGCTTTGTTTTTGCCCATAAAAAGAAAGTTTATTCCTAGACAAATTCAAAAGATCTCAAGCTGTTTCTGAACTTAAAACATCACCTTTGGGCACCTGGGTGGCTCAGTCACTTAAGTGTCTGTCTTCGGCTCAGGTCATGACCCTAGGACCATGGGATCGAGCCCCATATTGGGCTCCCTGCTCAGCGGGGAGCCTGCTTCTCCCTCTCCCTCTGCCTGCAGCTCCCCTGTTTGTGCTCTCTCTCTGTTTCAAATAAATAAAAT